TAAATCCCTCCTTCAGCAAGATATTATAGATCGGTATGACATCATTTCCGAAGCCTATATAGATTTTCGGTATCCCTGAAAGTGAGTATATTCGTAGCAGTTTCTTACCATAAAATAGTAAGAGAATGAATGACCAAGAAAAAGTCTCAAAAAAGATATTTGCAAAGAGTTTGAATAAGTTAGTGTTGTTTTCTATCCATCAAGGATTAGTATAAAATTGTCCATTTTAATGTAAATAAGTACACTCACTTAGTTAATTATCTAGGGGGCCTCGAAATGTGCAGTGCATCGGCCTCCGAGATGTTTGCGTACAGCAGAGTGATCATTTTTCTCTGCTTCCCCCCACACCGTTTGTATCCGAGTTAGAGGCGATGATATCAATGTTTCAGTTGACTGCCAGTGACCTTGTCTGACTCTCATCTGCAGCAACAAGTCATTGGTCTCAGCCAGCCTGCAAATCTCCATGAGCTTACCCGCTGCCTCCAGCAGTGCAATGGGCCTCCAGGGCCCCAGGCCCTTCATAGCTCTTCTTACTTGGCTTCTTCAGCACCATTTAAGGGATGATTATTAAAATTCAATTAGAACTTGCAGACATCTGCGTAGGCAAGAAACAGAACCTTCCAATCCACTTTTCATGCATGCGCGGCACGGGGTGTTGCAAAACCTGTCTCATCCTGTACGATGATAACCCCCAGGCTCAGGCACGCGCTTAGTGCGGATCATTCTGCGGATGATTTATTCGCTGACTCGACGGCAGACCTGTTAAAAGACAAGGGAATGACCGCTTCCACGGAAGTTGGAAGCAAAGAAGGAGAGATAAAGCCTTCGCAATTTTGTTGAAGGTCGAACAACCGAAAAGCCCGCTGCTTGGAAGGGCCAAAACGCACTTAAGTTCCCGGTTGCAGCGAATGGGAACAAAGCGAATGGAGACGAACCATGAGCTGATAACAATTGATCATGCTGAGAGGTGGCAAGGATGGAGATAAGTTCAGATCGTGGACCCACTGGAGATAAGCAAGATTGATAATTTGATACAGATAAGCCATAGTGTGGAACCCTGCGCTTCAACCATGCGACAGCAGGGGCAGAGGACATCGCTGCACACTCCAACCGGCTCCGATCAGCTCAGGGATCAAGGGTTCCTCGTAGATAAGTCATTAATATTACTGTTCGTGCTTTAATGACAGCT